CCAGAAGAGCAGACTGAGGCTGGCACACACAGGAAATAATGAAGCGAAGGTCGAGGTGTCAGTTGTAATTTCTAAAACAGATTAGAAAAGGTTGAGCTCTGTGAGGTTGAAACCCTGGAAAAGTTTTCTTGGAGGAAAGCAGTTTGCATAAAGTAAGATGATGTCTTCAAATGAATAGGAAGTTCAAAGAACACTTCAAGCTAATTTTCTTTACCTGACTTAATTTTTTTGGAGCTAAAATAAGGATTTTTCAGTGGTGAAAATATTAATCACAACCAAAAATTGTGATGACAACAGAGGTTTAGAACTGGAGCACAACTCTTTGAATTTTTGCTCATTCTGATTCTGAAATTAGCTGCTAGAAAGAGCCCTGTTGAAATAAAGATCTCTTCCGAAACATTGCCGCTCTATGCCTTAATATAAAAAGTATGATTTTTTATTAGTTTTGACTGATTTACAGTTTATTTTTGCTTGAAACTAAACATAAGTTGCTTAATAGTGCGTGTTGCGTCCGTTGCCAGTGGGTGATGCGTGCGTCATTCTAGACTTAGTCTGAGGTGTGGACCTGGTTTTCCCTGACAGAATAGGGTGTTTCTGAGGCGGATTTGGAATGGTGTCTCACTCCTCTGGCAACTCTACCTGTGTTATCGGCCAAAGTACACAGACTGTCACCCCTCCTGGAAGGACAGGATTCTGGTGGTATAGCCATCATTTCTTCCTCGTGGTCTGATACAGCCGCTGCTCTAAAGGACCTCAGAGATACATGCGGGAATCAGACAGCAAACACCTAAGTGATGATTTAACACTGTGAACTTTGGGATCATGGAATCTCCACATGCCCTCAGTGTGGCAGAACAGAGTCCTGTCTTGGGAGAGTCAACTTCAGGAGGGGGAGCGAAGGAAAACGTCATGGTCAGTGGACACAGGATGCCCGACACTCCATGTTGTGCAAGGGAATGGGGGCTCTGGGGGTGCAGATGAGGGGATCCCAGGGGCCCTGAGGAGCAGAGTTGAAGGGGATGTATCCTGGGCATCTCAGTGGTATTCATGATTATCTCTTCTCTGCATTTAAGATTTCTAGCTCATAGTGGTTCAGTTCTGATCAACAAACTGAACAACGTGGTACGTATTTCTTGCAAAAGGTTTAACGAGGCTCAGCATGTAGAAACATGAGTCGGCAAAGTGCTCTCTGGGGACATTTGAGACCGTCTTGCTTTGAAGTTATCCTGTTGCTGTGAAGATTAGTTTTTGTCCCATCTTGCTGCCAGAAAACTCTCAATGAACCTCAAGTGACTGAATATCTTATCTTTTGAAAAAGAGAAATAACAAAGGATAAAATCACTGCCCAAACACCCAAAAGATTGAAGTTGCTTATTATCTTGAGTGTTTTCATCAAATGTATCTTACTGAAGGCTTTTAAAGTTGAGATGCTTAAATACTCAGCCTAGAACATGCTTTTCAGCCTTATAGGAGGAATGTGGTAATTTGTGTGCTAATGTATTAGTTATATGAATATTTTAAGATTAGGTTGGCAGATGTATTACTAAAAATCGAGAAAAGCGTGTCCTTGATTGCTCTTACTTTAGGTCTAATGGAAATTTTTGCTCTTAGATTTCAGAACACTTCTGAACTTTGGTGTGGCTGTATTTCCCGTTATAATCGAAAGCCTTTTGTCACCTGTGATCAGCCTCCTAGGAACTTGTTATTGTTCAGTCTCTAAGTCATGTCTGACTGTTTGCAACCCTGTGAACTGTTGCACATCAGGCCTTACCTGACCTTGTAAATATGTGAATTCTTGTTTTTCATAAACACTTGGAAGCAGAAAATGCTCTTTTGTGTTTTACTCTTTCAGTTCAGCCTGTGCTACTTGGGTATCACTGGAAAGATGAAAATAGAGACTCCTGGGTGAAGAGACTGTACCCACTTAAGCAACGAGCAATTACCAGTTTTATGCTTTAATCTTTAAATTAGTTTTTTAAAGTAAGTAATTATTTGGCTGCATTGGGTCTTCATTGCTGCCCATGGGCTTTTCTCTGCCTGCAGCAAACAGGGGCTGCTCTTTGTTGAGGAATGCAGGTTTCTCATCGCAGCGGCTTCTCTTGTGGAACACGGGCTCTAGGTGTGCAGGCTCAGTAGTTGTGGCATGAGGGCTTAGTGTTCCTGCAGCATGTGGAATCTTCCTGGACCAGGGATTGGGCCTGTGTCCCCTGCATTGGCAGGCAGACTCCTAACTACTCAACCACCAGGGAAGCCCAGTCTTTAAATTAGTTTGACCTTGAATATTTACAGTGAGTCGTGGGTTTGTTAAGGATGAGTCAGGGAGGTGCCGTCAAGTCTCTGGAGGTAGAGAGGGAGCTAGGAGATATTTGGGGGCTGGGAGTGCTTCCCACCAGGCAGGAGGCAGTGGGCTTGGTGTGGTGGTTGTAGGGAGAAAAGTCAGGCAAAGATCTGAAAGGCACTTTAGAAAAATATGTGGTAGAATATTGTTCACAAGTTGGATATGATGGCAAAGGATAAAAAGTAATGAAAACACATCCATTCTAAGATGCTTTGTTGTTGTTCATTGCTCAGTCTCTCAGTGGTGTCTGTCTCAGTTGTGACTCTTTGTGACCACAGCACACCAGGCTTCCCTGTCCTTCACCATCTCCTGGAGTTTGCCGAAACTCATGTCTATTGAGTCGTTGATGCCATCCAACCATTTTATCCTCTGTTGCCCGCTTCTCCTCCTGCCCTCCATCTTTCCCAGCATCAGAGTCTTTTCCAGTGAGTTGGCTCTTCACATCAGGTGGCCAAAGGATTGGAGCTTTAGCTTCAGCATCAGTCCTTCCAATGAATATTCAGGATTGATTTCCTTTAGGATGGACTAAAGGAAATAGGATGGACTGGTTTGATCTCCTTGCAGCCCAAGGGACTCTCAAGAATCTTCTCCAACACCACAGTTCAGAAGCATCAATTCTTTGGTGCTCAGCCTTCTTTATGGTCCAGCTCTCCCATCAGTACATGACTACTGGAAAAACCATAGCTTTGACTATACAGATCTTTGTCAGTTAAGTGATGTCTCTGCTTTTTAATATGCAGTCTAGGTTTGTCACAGCTTTTTTCCCAAGGAACAAGCACCTTTTAGTTTCATGGCCACAGTCACTGTCTGCAGTGATTTTGGAGCCCAAGAAAATAAAGTCTGTCACTGTGTCCATTCTTTCCCCCATCTATTTGCCATGCAGTGACAGGACTGGATGCCATGGTCTTAGTTTTTTGAATGTTGAGTTTTAAGGCTTTTCCCTCTCCTCTTCCACCTTCATCAAGAGGCTCTTTAGTTCCTCTTCACTTTACCAGGCTCCAATAAATCATTAGTGTAACTGCAGATAGCGAGTTCTGTTTTCTTTTTCTCTTGCATCCCATGCCCCCCCCATCCCATTTCCTGAACCTTGCTTCTTAAGATATTGAAAATTAGAAAAGAAAGGAGAGAAAAAAAGCCCCAACAAGAATAATTTCAGTGTCTAAATGAGTCCCTGGGGGTGGCAGTCCTTTGTACAATGTGAGTGAAGTAGGGAAGTGGAAATTAAATAAATATCCTTTTATTATTTGATTTATGCTTATATTTTCTTGAGACTGTCAGAAAGGATAAGTGTATCATTATATACTTTCTTACACAGAATGTAATTTATCTTCCTCTCCAAAGGGGAGGAAAACAAAGAGAGAGATTAACCTATTCATCCATCTGACCTTCCAGTGAAACACCAGAAATTCTACCTTTCGAAGAGCATTGGATTTTTAAAGTTCTTTTGATAAATAAAATGATGAAAATGCTATATAGTCATTGTGAAAAATTCTAACAATGTAGAGATGTACAAAGTGACATGCGAAATAATTTCTTTTTCTCTCAGTTCAGCTTCAAGCCTTTGTGTACATATATATACATATAGACTACTTTTTAACACCAGTGGGAACTGTTTTTGTTATAAAGACTGTTTTTCAGTGCCTCTTTTGTTGTTGCTATTGAATGGGTGCAGAGCTTCATAGACTGTTGTATATTTCCATGACAGTCGGAGCTCCATCTCGTGAACTGTTCAGAGAGCACAGGATCACATTCAAGTGACCAGCATCATTGGGTCCCTCCCCGCCAGCTTGGTGACCTTACATTTGGATATTTGTCTCCTAGTGTTGACTCGAGGATCACCTTATACATAAAGCACAGCAGAAGGGTCTGGAATACAATATGTGTGCAACATGTTGCCTTTCATCTGTGGTGAACTGGTTTGATCTTTGGGGATGAAATCTAAGGACCTCCTCTCTCCTGTAGTTTTCCAAAACTACAACTGGAGCTTGTTTAAATATCTGACTCCAAATCTTTACCTTCGGGATACTGTTTATCAGTTATATTGACGTTTTTTGTAGATTGTGTGGCTACGTTCTGTTTCTTTTGGAAACTTAGAAAGCATGTGTCACTGATAAATTTTATCTTTCAAAGTTTTAACTTTCTGTTGCCCAGACTTTGGGGTGTAGGGTCAGAGAAAATACAGAGAAGATTTTATGGTGGGACTTATGATTGGGTAGTGAATTTGTTATTTTCTCGTAAGGTGTGTTTTTACAACTTAAAGTCAAGGGTGGGCTTCCCTGGTGCCTCAGTGGTAAAGAACTCACCTGCCAAAGCAGATGTGGGTTCAATCCCTGGGTTAGGAAGATCCCCTAGAGAAGGAAATGGCAATTCACTTCAGTATTCTTGCCTAGAGCATTCCATGGACAAAGGAGCCTGGTGGGCTACAGTCCATAAAGTCACAAAGAGTTGGACATGACTTAAGTGAGTAAACAACAGCAAAAGTCAAGGGTGGGCACATGAATACATATACATGTGTGCACACGTGCATGTACATGCACACACATATGCACCCTTCTGGGAATCAGCCTTCACGCTGTTCAAGTCTATTCAAACACTTTCCTTTCAAAGGCCATGGAGCTGGAGACCTTAGCAAGTTACCCTTTTTGCATCTGTGTCTCTGCAGGAATCCACTGCGAATCCTACAAGGACCCGTGCGCTAATGTCAGCTGTCTGAATGGAGGCACCTGTGACAGCGAAGGTCTCAATGGCACGTGTGTCTGCGCACCAGGATTTACAGGCAAGTGAGCCAGAAACTGAGTTTTCAAATTACTGCAAAATCCCTGAGATTGCAGCTGTGAAGAAAACCCAGAAACCTCTATGCATACATTATTGCAAAATATGAATTGTACTGCAGAAGATAAGCAGGGAGCGCTTGGATGGAGACCTGTTTTAAAATAATTTACTGTGTTGTCATTAAGTGAGGCTCTTAGGAGATCAGCATTTGGTTTTTGCTGAGACTGCCCTTGCTATGTACCTTTTCTGACCTGTAGCTTTGAAATGTGAGACATGAGCCATTACACTCACACCTGATAAAGTGTCAGTGCTAATGGAGGCGAGAAGGAGAATGGAAGGGTCAAATGTGTCTGCTGCAGAAACTGCATTCCACCATCAGGTTTATTTCTATTGAAAGACACGGCAGTGTCTGGATTTACTTGTTTATTTTATTTGAAGGGTAATTACTATGTTGTGATGGTTTTTGCCATACATCAATATGAATCAATCAGTATGAATCGGCCACAAGCATACATGTGTCCCCTCCATCCCGAACCCCCTCTCCCCTCCCTCCCCATCCCATCCCTCTAGGTTGTCACAGAGCACTGGCTTTGGGTGCCCTATATTGTACATCAAACTCCCACTGGTTTTCTGTTTTACATATGGTAATGTATATGTTTCCACGCTATTCTCTGAAATCATCCCATCCTTTCCTTCACCCACTGAGTCCAAAAGTCTGTTCTTTATGTCTGCATCTCCTTTACTGCCCTACGCATTTGAGTCAGTTCTAATGGGGTGGATGAACCTAGAGCCTCTTATACAGAGTGAAGTAAGTCAGAAAAAGAAATATCGTATATCGTAATATCGTATATTAACATCTGGATTTTGCATAATAGAGAGATGGTTGGGGGGATTAAGGGAAGATCCTGAATTAGTAGTGAAGGTGAGGACAGGAGAGGTGTAGGCAGAGGGAGTGGATGAGGGAGAAAGCATCTGATGGAAGAACAGATGGGGAGGACAGGGCTGGGTTCAAGAGGAGCCTCGGAGGCCCCTGGGCTCTGAGTGGGGAAATTCACTGTGGGCAAGGGGAACGAACCTAAAAAGGGCTCCTTTGAAGTCACCCCTCAAAGACCTCAGGGAGTTGTGAGCACCCCAAACAGATGTGAAGTGTCGTATGCATGTGTAAATGCTGAGGGAGAAGTTCTTAGATTGTCATCAGATTCTCAAAAGAAATTAGGAGCCACTTGGGTAGTGCAAGAGAGTTCCAGAAAAGCATCTATTTCTGCTTTATTGACCACGCCAAAGCCTTCGACTGTGTGGATCACAGTAAACTGTGGAAAATTCTCCAAGAGATGGGAGTACCAGACCACCTGACCTGCCCCTTAAGAAACCTGTATGCAGGTCAGGAAGCAACAGTTAGAACTGGACATGGAACAACAGACTTGCTCCAAATAGGAAAAGGAGTACGTCAAGGCTGTATATTGTCACCCTGCTTATTTAACTTGTATGCAGAGTACATCATGAGAAACGCTGGGCTGGAAGAAGCACAAGCTGGAATCAAGATGGCCGGGAGAAATATCAGTAACCTCAGAAATGCAGATGATACCACCCTTAAGGCAGAAAGTGAAGAAGAACTAAAGAGCCTCTTGATGAAGTGAAAGAGAAGAGTGAAAAAGTTGGCTTAAAGCTCAACATTCAGAAAACTAAGATCATGGTATCCGGTCCCATCACTTCATGGCAAGTCGATGGGGAAACAGTGGAAACAGTGGCTGACTTCATTCTTGGGGGCTCCAAAATCACTGAAGATGGTGATTGCAGCCATGAAATTAAAAGATGCTTACTCCTTAGAAGGAATTTATGACCACCCTAGATAGCATATTAATGAGCAGAGACATTACTTGGCCAACAAAGGTCCGTCTGGTCAAGGCTATGGCTTTTCCAATGGTCATGTATGGATGTGAGAGTTGGACTGTGAAGAAAGCTGTGGGCTGAAGAATTGATGCCTCTGAATTGTGGTGTTGGAGAAGACTCTTGAGAGACCCTTGGAATGCAAGGAGATCCAACCAGTCCATCCTAAAGGAGATCAGTCCTGGGTGTTCACCTGAAGGACTGATGCTAAAGCTGAAACTCCAATACTTTGGTCACCTCATGCGAAGAGTTGACTCATTGGAAAAGAGCCTGATGCTGAGAGGGGTTGGGGGCAGGAGGAGAAGGGGACGACAGAAGATGAGGTGGCTGGATGGCATCACAGACTCGATGGACATGAGTTTGGGTAAACTCCGGGAGTTGGTGATGGACAGGGAGGCCTGGCGTGCTGCGATTCATGGGGTCGCAAAGTGTCGGACATGACAGCGACTAAATTGAACTGAACTGGGTAGTGGGGATTCCATCCTTTGCTTTGTTAGCTGAGCACAGGAGTGCTGAGATGTAGCGTAGGTCAGGTCTCTGTTTTCAGCACTTGCTCAGCCAACAAAAGCGTCAGGGTCACTCTGGCTTGCAGGTTGGGAAAGGTTAATATACAGGGTGCTGACAGATGAAGGTGGCACTGAAGTTTCTGGAAATATGTTATCATTGGCTGGAGAGTGCCTTGCATGCTCGCTTCTCCCTGCTAAGCCACAGTGGCGACCTCACCAACCCTGAAGAATTCCACAGAACCTGGACCTGCAGTCCGTCCCTGGGGAGCTTCATTTGTGCTTCTGGGGAAGATGCCAACAGTCAAGATTGGGAGGAGCGACCTCTGATCTTCCTTCATTTTATCTGTGTCACATCCTTTGTTTTCCTTTTGGCTTCTCCTGGGACTGAGAAGTGGGCTCACTCAGAAAATTATCTGCAGGTGGTTTTGCTTCTGACTGGTTTATAAACATGCAAGGACATTTGTCCTCATTAATTAATGCAAAATAATATTGGGGAAGCATTCCATTTTTTTCCCCTAGACATTTATATCCCACAAATAATAAAAAGCTTGGACGAAAAATGAGAAAATATAGTGCCATAGGGGGAAAAAAAACCCACCACTTAAAACTGTGCTACTAGGAGACAGCCATTGTTAACATTTTGTTACATATATCCAGGGGTTTTCCTGAAGGTCTGTTTGTGTTTAAGATACAGTGTGTAGTGTAAATGCATATGTGTGTGCCTGCTAAGTCGCTTCAGTCATATCCAATTCTTTTCGACCCTATGGACTGTGGCCCACCAAGATTCTCTGTCCATGAGATTCTCCAGGCAAGAATACTGGAGTGGGTTGCCATGCCCTCCTCCAGAGAATCTTCCTGACCCAGGGATCAAACCCACATCTCCCGCAGTTCCTGCATTGCAGGCAGACTTTTTTACCACAGAGCCACCAAGGAAGCCTGTAAATGCATATATTTGAACATAAAAGGAATCATACTGTTCATATTATTTTTCACTTAAAGATATGTGTATTTTATAAATGCACTTTCACATTAAGGAATATGCTTCTGTTTATCATTTTTTTTGGCTGTCCTGTCATCCATTCCATGATATGTCAGGATTTTTTTCTTAACCCGTGCTCAATTCAACTTTTGGAGAGATGGAACTTTTTTCTATTGTAAACAATGTTACAGTGAATATTCTTGCATGCATGTCTTTGTGAACTTGCATGATTATTTCTTTGAGCTAATTTCCTAGGAATGGAGTCCCAGGATCCAGGAGAATACATACTTATTTCCATAGTGCTTTCCAGGGAGAAACCTTGTACCAATATTTACTCCTATCCGGAGTGCAAAGAAGCTTTTATTTCCTTGAAAGTGAAAATGTTAGTCATTAAGTAGTGTCTAAGTCTTTGTGACCCCATGAACTGTAGCCCACCAGGCTCCTCTGTCTATGGGATTTTTTTTTTTTCAGGCAAGAATACTGGAGTGGATTGCCATTTCCTTCTCCAGGGGTTCTTCCCAACCCAGGGATCAAACCTGCATCTCCTGCATTGGCAGGCAAATTGTTTTTCCACTGAGCCTCCAGGAAAACTCTGAAGAAACCTCTTAAATGAAAATCTAATCTTGTCTCTCCCTACTTAAAATCACCTACTGGCATATCATTGTCTTTAAGACTTTTAGCTGGATCATCAAGACCTGGGAGGTTTGGCTGCATCCAGTCTTTCCAGGCTTGTCCTGGGCCCCGCTTGCCTGCTTGATTTCCGAACACCCATGTCGTGCTCTTCTTCTCAGTAATGTTCTTCCTGTGCGTCTTCTGCCTCTAAATCCCCTCTGCCTCCCCCACTGGGCATCCACCGTTTAGTTGTTGTTTAGTTGCTACATCATGTCCAACTCATGTTCTAGGTGAAAAGTCCTCCCCTCGGCCTTTCTCATTGTTCTTACTGTGATCACAGCAAGCAGGAGGATTCTTCCAATGGAAGTAGGCTCAAACATCACTCTAACTGGTCTTTGAAAATAACAAATGCCTGTTTTTACTCAGCCGTAGACATTCTTCAACATTTTTCAGCTACTTTTCAGTATTTGTCTTTCAGTTCACAGGAGAATATTCTGTAATTTCCAGCTCATTTTCACAGGCAAATGTCATCAATGTTTTATTCTCATTGAGATTTTAATTTGCCTTTCTTTGTTGTTGAGCATCTTTCATATAATTACTGATCCTTCAGATATCTTTGGGCTTCCCTGGTAGCTCAGATGGTGAAGAATCTGCCTGTAGTTCAGGAGATGTGCATTCAATACCTGGGTTGAGAAGATCCCCTGGAGAAGGAAATGGCTACCCACTCCAGTATTCTTGCCTGGAGAATCCCATGGACACAGGAGCCTGGCGGGCTACAGTCCATGGGGTCACAAAGAGTAGGACACAACTGAGAAACTACTTTCACTTTTTTCCTTTCATATGTCTTCCCGTGTGAAGGGTCTTTTCAAATTTTTTGCCCATTTTTCAGAAATTGAATTTTTGTCATGTCATTCAGTTGTTAGAGTAATTTGTATATTCTAGATACAAATCCTTTGTCAGATAAACATTTGGCTTGTCCATTCATTCTTTTTTTTTCCCCAGCAGTACATCCATCTATAC